CCCCCACCCATGCCAACCAGAACCCCCCTTAGACACCCCTGCAACAGAGCCCCCTGCCCCGGGTGTGACTCGGCTCCAGTCTCAACACAAAGTCCCCGTGGACTCCTCCCCATCTTCCTCTGTGAGGTTGGGGAATGCTTACATGCTGCCCCGGTCCCACTTGGGTCCCAAGCTCAGGAGAAACCAGTGCAAAGTCCCTGCCATCCACTGCCTTGCTAGTGCCCGTCACTCCCGACCTGCAGCCTCACAGTGTGTGTGTGTGTGCACGTGCACGTATGGAAAATTGGTGTTCCTGCTGGGACCAAATGCAGAGCCTCCAGGCTAGAGGGTCTTGCCCCTCCACTCGGGGGGAGACTGAACCCCTATTTGGGGTCAGGAAGGATTTTTACTAGCCAGATTGATACAGACTGCAGCTTTATGCCTTCATATGACCCTCTACCTGGGATCCCTCCAGCATATATTAAGAACCTTTGACAGAAGCAGGACATTTCATAGTTTCATAGTTGGTCGGGTTGGAACGGACCTGAGCAGATCATCAAGTCCGACCCCCTGCCATGGGCAGGAAAGGATACTGAGGTCAAACAACCCCGGCTAGGTGTGTATCCAGCCTCCTTTTGAAGACCTCCAGGGTAGGAGCAAGCACCACTTCTCTTGGAAGCTTGGCACAGGCGCACGCACGCACACTCAGTGCAGCTAGGGTGGCCATCATAGAAGAAAGCGCAGACGTCCTCTGTCCTCTATTGATACAAAACCGGACGCCTTTATGTCCTCAATTTTAGGCACTGGGTTTCATATCAATAGAGGACAGAGTAGCAGAAAACCAGCACGCCCCCTATGATGGCCACCCTCAGTGCAGCGCAGAGGCATGGGGACACACATGGTGCCGGTGGACACGGACAGACATGCACACGTGGGTTTGGGAGCGCTCCCAGCTCCAGCTGCGTCCCCCTGGCCCAGCAGCGTCCTTGCGGTGCGCCTGCATGCGTGTGTGTGTGTGTGTGTGTGTGTGTGTGTGTGTGTGTGTGTCAGCAGCAGCACTGGCAGCGTTAACCCTTTGCTGGCAGCAGCTGCTAGGGCAGGATCCCCAGGGCAGGGCTGGGGCTGCTGCAAGGGGTGGAGACCCCCCTCTTCCCCTGCTCAAGATTAACCCATTCCCTGCCAGCTTCATCACCTCCCCCCCCAGCCCGGGTTTCCCTTACCAGTCTCCAGCCTCCTCCTAGCCAGCACGTCTCTGTCCCACAATGCACCAGGATGGCTCCGCCCCCTCTTATCAGGGATGGAGCAGAGGGGAGGGGGGGGACTGACTGCAGTTACTTGTGAGTTTGGAGCTAAATCCCCTCTTCTCCTTCTACCCAGAGAGCTGGGCATACCTCGGCTTTGCTGCCCAGCTCTGTCGGCACCTCCTGTCCTGGGCAGGGGAGCTTTGTGACACGTGATGAATTCAGTTGCTTATAGGAGGCATCTCTGATGCAGTTAATCTACAAGGTTCACTTCTACCAAATCGAAGGAGGCCAAGTCAGATGCTAGCCACGGCCCTCCCTTGCATCCTGCTGGCTGGAGGAGAATAAGGTGCCATCACCATGCCAGCAAAATGGACCTTGCTAAGCCTTGGGAGACCTTTGAGTTCATCCTACTTGCATGCAAGTAGGATGAACTCAAAGGTTGCCAGGACAAGCTCTACCCGCCGGCCCGCAGCCCTGGGGAAAACTGGACCCGAGACCTTGAGGACAGGGGTGACAAAGAGACTTGGATGAGGAAAGCAGGAGCTGCCAAAGCCAGGAAGATGCCCCATTCAGGGCCATGGCACATAGAAGCTGCCCCACTTTCCTCCATGGGAGCTGCCCCATGTCAGCAGCCTCTGGCTCCCATCCAGAGACCTCACGCACTCATTGCTGTGATGGCAAGTCCAGCAAAGTCAATAGATTTTGCCTGTGGAAGAGGCCCAGTTGTATCCCACTATGAAGTAGAGGTCATCTCCGCTGACTGGGGGCAGGGGTGACAGGCCATGACTGGGGCAATGAGACCTCAAGGCCAGAGCCTAGTGCAAGTACCAGATGCCTACAGCCCCTGCTGCACATTACATGTATCATGCAACCAACTGGTGAGTCGCGCAATGCGTGTAGACCCGCCACACGCGCAAAGGCATGATCCTGCCATAGAAATGGCTGTCCAGCTACAAAAAGAGCCTACCCGCCTTTGTTCAATGAAACTGTTGTTGGATACAGTTTAATTCACTTGCATTTAGTTTCATTTCTGTCCCTTTCTGGAGGGGGTCAGTCCACCCTGCCCCTTCATTCATTTAAACATGTAATTTGATTCAGTTTAATTGACTTGCAATTAGTTTAATTTATGTCCGTTTCTGGAGGTGGGGGAGGGGGGGGAGGTCAGTCCCTGCCCCTTCACCCTAATACGTGTTTAATTCGTGTCAGTTCTGGGAGGGGTCCATCAGTCCCCACCCCCCACCCCTTCATTCAATGAAGCATTACACTTAGTTCACTTTAATTCAATTCACTTTAATCCAGCTGAGTTTAATTCAATTTCCTTTCCTTTCTAGGGGGAGGGGCCGCACCTATCTCATGCCTATTCAGGCAGGGGAGGGGAGGGGGAAGCGAGCGCGGTGCATTGTGGGACAGAGCTGCAGTGGCTGGAAGGGCAGGTAAGAGAGATGAGTGCCTGCCTCGGCAGGGAATGGGTTAAGAGGGGGGGTTCCCCCCCCGGCCCGCCCTGGGAATCCCGCAAAGGGCTCAGGTTGCCGCGAGACGAGACGCGGGTACACACGTGCTCTGCGCCGGGACGTGACCCCTGTCGCGCGGCAGCGGCACAAAGGGGGCGAGTGCCCTGGGGCTGCAGGGGGCATTGGGGCCCCACGGAGGGGGTGTGGGTGTGTGCACATGTGAAACTTACCCCAGATACGTGTGTGAAGGGGGCTGTGTGGGTGTTCGTGTGTGTGTGTGGGGGGGGTGCTTCTCTATGCACGTGTGTTGGGAATGTGTGTGCATGTGAAATTTACCCCGGGGGTGCATGTGTGTGGGGGGGGCAGTGTGTCTATGTGCGTGTGTGTTTGGAGTGTGTGTGCATGTGAAGTTTACCCCTGATATATGTGTGTGTGTGTGTGTGTTTTGGGGGGTTATCTTTATCTTTGGGGGGCAACTTAGGTGTGAGAGATGCAAACAGAGAGAGCGTACGTGTGTGTGTGTGTGAGTGAAGTTTACCCTGGATGTGTGTGTATTGGGGGAGGAGGGTTACCCACAGGTAACTTGTGTGTCAGAGGGAGAGGAGTGTGTGTGTGTACATGTGCATATGAAACTTATCCCAGCTGTGTGTGTGTGTGTGTGCACGTGTTTAGAGTCCATGTGCATGGGCATACATATGTGCTTGGTGTGTGTGTGTGTGCATGCATGCACATGCAGGTGTGTTTGTGTGTGTTGCCCAGGTTACAGGTAACTTTGGGGGTAGGTTAGTGATAAAAGAGGCAGGAACAGGTCTACAACCCATGACAGCACAAGCTAGAGTCTCACTTGTACAGGCTGTGCACACTCGAGAGGAGGGTGGCACGCAGGTTTCCAAATTCCACCCCCCTCAGCCTATGCCCAATATTTTATAGATGGCTAGGTTTAATATTCTAATACATGGTCTCTGATTGATTGGTTTTATTTAAATGTCTGAAACTTTTGGAACTGGACTAAACCAGGTCTCTTGGGAACTTGGAAGGTGCCAGTTAGTTGGGAAATACTAGATTGGAAGATATTAGATTTATATCCTTGGGAAAGAGGGAGGGTTTCTTACCTCCTTTCCTTCCCCACGGTGGAGGGTGGTTCCTATTACTTCCTTACCTTAGTTTGTGGTCTTAGTTTATGAGGCTGTTATTGTTTTTACAAATTAGCTAAGAATTTTAACAAAAATGTATCTATTAAAGGAAAATAACATGGAATGCGTTTGGTTACACTATTCACTACTGCTACTCTTTTAAGATAAAGCGTTGATACAGTGTATATGCGTTATTTAATGTGTGGTCTGCCCTTCTCTCCCTTCAGGGCTTTGTGCTTTGTTTAATTGTGTTTGATGGCTTCCTTTAATTGCTGACCAAATTAGTTGTTGCACCTGCAAAAGTTTGCACTGCCGTTACTCAGAAACAGGCTTTGGGGTGTCTGCTTAGTAGCACGTCTGGAGCTTAGCCTGGACCCCTTGAAAATGCTTAAGGCTGGCAGGAAGCACGTGTGTGTGTGCGCTTGTGTGTCCACATATGTTTGGAGTGTGTGCATGTGTGCACGTGTTTTTGCAGGGATGGGTGGGGAGTGGATCATGGCTCTGCGTCAGGCCAGGCCCCACGCTGTCCTGCCTACCCATCCCGTTCCTGGACACCGCCACAGTCCCAACCCATCTACCCTGCCGGCAGGCCTCCTGGGCCAGTAGAGCCTGCCAGCCCACCTGCCGGCTCCACCTAGCAGCCCCGGCAGCGGGTGCGGGGCAGACAGGCCCAGGACTGGGTAGGATTAATTAGCATCTTCCTGGACTCTTGCCCCTGCCACGCTGAGTGGCATAAACAGCTGTGACGGGGACCCAAGGCCAGGTTGGCACCCCCCTCCCTCCTGGCCCTTAACAGCTCACCAAAACTCCTTAAGTGCCCTCCAGTCCAAATTATTGCCCACCCTTGTTCTGTGCAATCCTGTTCATAAACCAACTGCGCTTTATGTTACAACAGTTTGGTTTCAGCACCCCCAGGGTCTCTCTGTTTGCCTGCGTGAGTCAGTCTGTGTGCCTTTTTCTGTGTCACGCAATCATGGAAAATGAGTGTTGGAAGGGACCTCAAGGGGTCATCTAGTCCAGCCCTCCGCTCCAAGCAGGTCTGTGTGTGCCTGTCTCTGTCTGTGTGAGCCCAT